AAATATATATATTTTAAATACCCATTACATTTGACTTAAAATTTATGACCACAAAGCAAACAAAATACTGTTGGTTAAAATTGAATATTTCACATTTTTATTATTTGTTATGAAATTTATATCGTGTGAAAATAAATAACTTATATTTTTTAAAATTATGTATTTTTAAACGGGGTTTAATATTTTCACAATTTTAATGAAAGTTTTAGTTTAAAAATTTAGCTACTTTTTATTTTTTGACTATTTAAAGTAAAGTAGATTATAAAAATTTCCAGAGGTTTATTACAAAAATAATATTTCACATTAACTTACTATAAAATACATATACGGTACCTACAAACGGAAGTCAAGTAAGGAGATTAGACTTTTCCGTTCTAACTTTTGTACAATTTAAGACCGTATAGACTAATGCGCAAAAAGATTACGTTACGAATTCTATTATTACGTTAGTTTTTTTGTTTTGTTTTTTTACATTTGTCCTGTAATCATGTGAGAAATATATATTAAAATATAGTAACGATATAATTTACTGCTTGACTGTCAAAGAAATCTAAGCATGATATTTTTCAAAGATTGGGTATCAACAACTTTATTTTAACATAAGGATATAGTCATGTCTACGAAAAGGTAAATTTAACTTTAGTAGTTTAGACTAACATTTTCATTATCATCATGAATTCTACTTAGACTTAGGAAACGGTTATTACTACTTTTTTTCTGAATACCGTATGATTTTAGGAATAATATCGTATAATTACTATTACTACTACTAGTAGTAGTAAAGAGATAAAATTTAGTATTAGTATTATTGTACTACTACCAATAGTACTACTAGTAAGCCTAAGCGGGTCTTACTAAATATCACTATTAAAATGAAAAAAGGCAAAGAACCCAGTTGTATAACATCCTTTAATATTATTTGTATACAGCTATATATTATCCATTTTCACTTTTACTTTTTAGTACACTATGGCTCTCATAACCTGTGAATCTCGCCAAAGCTGGAAAGGATTATGTAAATGTGACCTAATGTTGTTTGTGAACTGATGATAATATCAACCTTAAGCTTTGTTTATTTTGTTTAATAATAAGTAATTAACAGTGTTGTGGAAAGTTTGCAGCTAAGACTTCTTACTTAATTTGACCACAGTGTATATGCAGAAAAAAATACAGCTTTTTATTGGTTATAGTATTTCCTTACTGGTTTCATATTTCTTGATGGTTATAAATCTTTGTCCATAATACAGTTTTAGTTTTAGATTGCCTTCATATGTATTTCAAATGTACTTAAAACTAAAAAAAATATTCCTTCCAATAACAAACATTGATTTATATCATACCTTTATGTAGTTTAGTTTTTTGATACTTTTTGCCTTTTCCTTGATTGATATTGATGTTACTTGACAATTCTTGGTGGGGATTAGTAGTAATGACTGAAGTCTAACTCAATTCTAGTTTCACTTCTTGGAGTTTTATGATAGATCCTTACATTGTTATGATTTGAATGCCTTTTCCAAAGTGGTGAAGAATGAATATAATTAATTATATTTGTCATAAGACTATGATATGAGCCTGCTATGTTTTTTAACACAACATTCTTTGTCTTGTGCCTTAGGGATTATCAAGAATTAGAAGAGTGTATGATAATAGCATTCCAACCACACCATGTTTATTATATCCATTACCTAAGGGACTAGAAAAAGAATGCAGGGTTGAAAAAACCTTTAAAAGTATGAAAAGATGACTTATGCCCATGAGTCATGGTCATACAACTTTTTAAGTTACAACATGCATGTTACTAGAAATAAGCTGATAAGATCTTTCTAAAGTAGCTAAATTAATGTTGCTTGTAAAAATAGAAAGGAATAATATGCCCAGTTGTGATTCTTATAAATAATTGTTACAAACATAAAGGTGATGACCTTTGGCCATCCTTATTAGTATTAATGATAAATGACATTAAACTTTAGGTTTTTTAATCTGTAACAGACATATGGCTTTGACTTAAAAGTCAAAGAGTTATACTAACAACTTGCATCACATCATCAGGCACATTTGACAGAGAGATAACTTTGCAGAAGAACTAGTCTGAATCTGGGGTTTCATAATTAAAACTTTTTATTCCTTATATTTGAGTTTGCATTTCCAACTATTTTATTCTTTCACTCAAAAATTATGTGAGAAAGGACAAATTGAAACTATTTAATTCATCAAGGCCATTCCTCCACACACCAGTAATCATGGCAAAGTATCAAAACCAAACTAAATATACACCATTACTTCTGTATACTTAATGAAGAAAAGTTTAGGATGCAGTAGCTTTAGTCATTAATTTCTGCATTCTTTCTTGTTAAACATAATACAGCAGTAATCTAAATGTTTTCTTATCAGAGTCTTGTATCGGGCTACTTTCTTTTACTCTTTAACTTTGGATTTATAGAGCTCTCTTTGTTCTGTACACCATAGTCAAACACTCAGGTGGAAGATTTACATTGTCTCTTTCTAAGTAACAGAAATAGGTCTGCCTAGCATTTTTATATTATTGCTGAATTAAAAAATGTGACTGTTCCAAGAAACACTTGAAGTTATTGGCATAAATAATGAACAATAATGGTCTCAAAATAGACTCGTGAGGGACCCCACTAACCATGTTTTCCCAATTGGAAAATGACAATTTATCACCATCCTTTGCAGATAAAAAAAAACAAAAAAATTGTAATAAGTTGCTATTTTCTCCTTTTAGAATAAGTAGTGCATATTGGAATATCATAAGTAAGATTTTTGTCTAATTAAGAAAAAAAATTAGTTGTTGCTCATAATTTCATTTCTGCACCATCATGAACCATGTCATCAGCTTTAGCCCTTGATGGATGTATATCTATGAAACGTTGGCAACAAACAACATTTGTTTTTTGTTATTATTAAAATTTATTATAATAATTATTAACATTTTTATGTGCAGCTAATGATTTATTTGCAAAAAGCCGATTTCATATCCACTAACTATAAAGTGCAGGTCTTCACTACTGCCAAAAGCAACTCAGTCCTTAAGTTAGTCATCCTGTTAGAAGAACAAAACTGTCTTAACTGGAGTTTAGCTTGCCTTTTCCAAATGGTAGAATTATATCAAGTCATTCTGTTATCTTCAGAATATAGCTCAAAGAAATCAGAAGCCTTTTATCCCATCATACTCTCAGATAACTTGTAAACGTCAATAAGTTTCCCTCTTATCCTTGTTTTCTCAAGAGATCTTAACTTATGCCTATAAGGTAACCCTTCCATCCCTCTAATAATCCTAGTAACCCTTCTGTGAAGTCTTTTCAGTAAGTCAGTATCCTTTCTTAGATAAGGAGATCAAAATTGTATGCAATATTACAAATGAGGCCTAGTGATTTGTATAAAATGATTACCTCTTTGACTTGTAATCAATATTTTTATTATTCACTTAAAAGTTTATTAGCTTTACTAATAATCATCCTCTTTTAAAAGCTTTATTAAAGTTATATGTAAGGTCAACTAGGGTATCTTCATTCACAATACTAATTAACCCTCTCCAGACTGGTCATGGGTCAAAGGCCATGTCATTGCATTTGTTGACTCGTATTCAAAATTTTATTGAACTACTATTTCATGAATTTATGTCAATAAGTTTGGTATCAAACTGTAGATTATAATTTAAATGTAAGAGTTATACATTATTTAATTTCTTAATTTAAAAGTAAATATTAAAAAACACAGTTAAACATCTATTTTTGTGTGTCACGTGGTGTATTGAATGCAGCACTGGTTCAAATTAGATGTCTGATGCCAAAATACTAAGTCTATAGTTTTGTACAAATTAGAAACTCAAATTACAAGCTGGAAGATGAA